AATTCCCTATTAGCAGGATGCTCAAATAAAACCCTTAAGATTCTCCAGCTGATCCAGAATGCTGCAGCACGTGTTCTGACAAAAACAAAGAAAAGAGATCATATTTCTCCTGTATCGGCTTCTCTCCATTGGCTTCCTGTAAAATCCAGGATTGAATTTAAAATCCAGGATTGAATTTAAAATCCTTCTTCTGAAGTACAAAGCGCTAAATGGTCAAGCTCCTTCATATCTTGAGGACGTCTTAGTACCTTATTGTCCCACTAGAGCACTGCGCTCCTAGAATGCAGAGTTACTTGTGGTTCCTAGAGTCTATAAAAGTTCCATGGGAGCCAGAGCTTTCAGCTATCAGGCCCCTCTCCTGTAGAACCAGCTCCCAATCTGGGTTTGAGGGGAAGACACCGTCGCTACATTTAAGACTAAACTGAAAACTCTCCTCTTTGATAAAGCTTATAGTTAGGGAGTGAGGAGTTGCAGTGAACGCCTAGACCAGTGGGACAGGGTGCATAGCTGCAGACACAGCACCACAGCTTTTATCTGCTTCTCTTTTACAGTCATCAGATATACTTATCGTATAATCAATACTAATCAATAATAATAATATAGTGCCTCTCCTAGTTATGCTGTTATATTTTTTTAAGTTCCTTCCTTCTTATGACACAATGAGCTGTTCTCTCTTCGCTCTTTTATTTTGTTTCCTTTCATGTACATCTTGTCCCAGAAGTGCTTGTTACTTTAACCCCAACCGTCAGAGACCGCGCACCAAGAGTCTGGGTCTGCCGAGGTTTCTTCCTTAAAAGGAGTTTTTCCTCGCCACTGTCGCAATAGCTAATGCTTGCTCTTGGGGGAACTATTGGAATTGTTGTGGCTTTGTAAATTATAGAGTGTGGTCTAGGCCTACTCTATCTGTAAAGTGTCTCAAGATAACTCTTATCATTTGATACTATAAATGAAATTCAATTGAAATTGAATTCAACTTAAGTGACCATGTCCCCAAATTCTGTTAAATGTCAGTGAAACCTGGTATGGAACAAGGTTCTATGGCACGGGTGTCAAACCGGTTCCACGGGTGGCCTAGTGTATGCAGGTTTTTGGGTTTTCATTTAAATTAGTTCAGACCTAAACAACCAGTAGAGGGTAGAACCTTACCAATTAGTGACCTAATTAATCAATCAAGTACAAGGTGAGAGCAAAAACCTGCATACACTAGGCCCCCCGTGGAACCGGTTTGACAACCCTGTTCTATGGTCTGAGGAAACAACTCAAACTTTACGGCAATGAAAACACAGAAAATTAAACTTGGTGTAAATAAGCCGTGTTCATGCGGTCTGCCTCTGGCAAAAGGCTAAAGCTTAATTTACACCATGAGCTTCTGCGCCGATTCCGAACCGGCTCTCTGCTCCGCTTTCCTGTTGATAGGCGACTTGTCTATTTTTGTTGGAGGCCACGCCAGTCTGGTCACATGCAACATATGTGAAACACACATACAAAATAATCGAGGATAATGTATTTCTAACGACTAAAACACAGCTACAAATCGTTTATACACGTCGTTAATAATGAATGACGTCACAATGGGAACAGAGTAAAACCACGTCAGAGCCAGAACGCGTAGCAGATGTGCCTGGTATATTCCAGGCATAAGACTGGATCATTGTTGGATTTTCTAACAGGACGCTAATACAAAGTATAGCGCCAACTCCACACATATTAAGAATAGAGCCTTGTAATGGTCATCACAGTCACTCTGACTAAAATCCCATTGAAATTCTGTGGGTCAACCAGACAATGGACAAATTCTTTCCTATGTTCTCCCCCACCTCATCAAACATAGTAGGAGCAGGACTCATCAAACATAGTAGGAGCAGGACTCATCAAACATAGTAGGAGCAGGACTCATCAAACATAGTAGGAGCAGGACTCATCAAACATAGTAGGAGCAGGACTCATCAAACATAGTAGGAGCAGGACTCATCAAACATAGTAGGAGCAGGACTCATCAAACATAGTAGGAGCAGGACTCATCAAACATAGTAGGAGCAGGACTCATCAAACATAGTAGGAGCAGGACTCATCAAACATAGTAGGAGCAGGACTCATCAAACATAGTAGGAGCAGGACTCATCAAACATAGTAGGAGCAGGACTCATCAAACATAGTAGGAGCAGGACTCATCAAACATAGTAGGAGCAGGACTCATCAAACATAGTAGGAGCAGGACTCATCAAACATAGTAGGAGCAGGACTCATCAAACATAGTAGGAGCAGGACTCATCAAACATAGTAGGAGCAGGACTCATCAAACATAGTAGGAGCAGGACTCATCAAACATAGGAGCAGGACTCGGAGCGGTTATCTTGGCAAAAAAGGGTGCACAAAGCACTACAAGAAGGGATGGCAATAACTAAGGAACACACGTTTTGGAATAAAATATTGATTTCTTAATAACCTCTCTTTGAAAACATTTTACTGAATTATATATGTTTGTAAGATCAAGCAGATAAACAAAAATAACAGCCTCTTTAGTACTTATCTACATTGTATGCCCAATACAGAACATTCCATGTAATATGAAATTCATATAGCTTATCCCAAATTAAAAAAATGTATTAACAGACTTACCTTTGCCCCTCCTCCTCATCACTGTCATCTACGTCCTCGTGCATCATATCCCTGAAGGAGGTTACCCTATGTTCACTCCTTTACACACACAAAACAATGAGAGTTAAATATGAATTAACATTAAATGTTTCAGCAAATATTAACGCATGCAATAGACGATAAGGGCAACGTGAAGGATCCTGCTTCAATGATACAGAGCGGATCCTGCTTCAATGATACAGAGCGGATCCTGCTTCAATGATACAGAGCGGATCCTGCTTCAATGATACAGAGCGGATCCTGCTTCAATGATACAGAGCGGATCCTGCTTCAATGATACAGAGCGGACCCTGCTTCAATGATACAGAGCGGACCCTGCTTCAATGATACAGAGCGGACCCTGCTTCAATGATACAGAGCGGACCCTGCTTCAATGATACAGAGCGGACCCTGCTTCAATGATACAGAGCGGACCGTGCTTCAATAATACAGAGCGGACCGTGCTTCAATGATACAGAGCGGACCGTGCTTCAATGATACAGAGCGGATCGTGCTTCAATGATACAGAGCGGATCCTGCTTCAATGATACAGAGCGGATCCTGCTTCAATGATACAGAGCGGATCCTGCTTCAATGATACAGAGCGGATCGTGCTTCAATGATACAGAGCGGATCCTGCTTCAATGATACAGAGCGGATCCTGCTTCAATGATACAGAGCGGATCCTGCTTCAATGATACAGAGCGGATCCTGCTTCAATGATACAGAGCGGATCCTGCTTCAATGATACAGAGCGGATCCTGTTTCAATGATACAGAGCGGATCCTGATTCAATGATACAGAGCGGATCCTGATTCAATGATACAGAGCGGATCCTGCTTCAATGATACAGAGCGGATCCTGCTTCAATGATACAGAGCGGATCCTGATTCAATGATACAGAGCGGATCCTGATTCAATGATACAGAGCGGATCCTGATTCAATGATACAGAGCGGATCCTGCTTCAATGATACAGAGCGGATCCTGTTTCAATGATACAGAGCGGATCCTGTTACCGGTAAGTAGCAACAGATACACAGATTAAACTATGCACCTGCCCGTTCCTGTGGGACGTGGCACAGACGATCCCCCACTCTCTGGCTGAGGAAGTGTTACGATGTCATCCTCAGCACCATCTTCAAAGAAACTGGCCAGGGCAAGCTGAGGAGAGACCAAAATGCTGCGTCATAAAAGGATCACGATCAACAATGTCTAGTCATTATTTAATTGTTAAAAGCTGTTCGCAAGGTAGCTTTAGAGCCTAGTTGAGAACTCACAATTAGAAAAGATTACTAGGCGAAAACGCTTTCATTCAAGTAGATAAACAACTAAAATATGATTTATGACGAGTTCGGTTAACATTGAAATAAAGCAGATATAAATACATCACAGATATACACACATTATTAGTTAAAAGTTTGGACACCCCTTCTTAGTAAAGGTTATTTCTTTCTATTTACACATTTTTGATTAGAGAGGACAGCCAAACAACAAATATATGGAACAAAGTAGTAACCAAAAGGGTTAACCAAATCAACATGTCATATTGTAGATTGTGCAAAGTAGCCACTTTTTGCCATGACAGCTTTACACTAAACCAGCTGTATGAGGTAGTCACCACCTGGAATTAACAGCAGTGGATTGTTAAGTACATTTTCATTTTCAGTTGGTGATCCGAAACCACCATTCCCTGTGCTGTAGTATTCCATATTATCCCAAGAACAACAGAAACAAGTTAAGAGAAACAGACAAAGATATAAAGGTCAGTAAATTCTGAGGATTTTACACATCTTACCGGTAGTTTTTATTTTTTGCATTCAAGGCACACTGAACCAGCATGGCAACAACAGCATTCTACAGCGATAAGCAATCCCAAGTGGGGCTACTATTTGTTTTTAAACAGAACAATGGTCAAAACACGCACTGAGGCCGTGCAAGGGCCGTCAAACAACCAGGCCGTGCAAGGGCTATCCGACCAAAAAGGAGAGTGGAGTGTTGCATCAGAATACCTGGCTTGCACAATTCCCCGAACTCCAGCCAAAGGAGTCTACTTTAAAGAAACTAAAAATATATATTTATTGCCACAAATTAACTTTAAACAAGGCACATCTTTTAATTGAAATGCATTCCGGGTGACCACTTTATAAAGCAAGTTGAGAGAAGGCAAAATGAACAAAGCTGTCACCAAACCAAAAGGGGGGTACTTTAAAAAACATACAATATGAAATGCATTTTGATCCATTTAAACTTTTATCTGCATGTTTTATTTCATAGCCTTTGTCTTACCGTCCATTTACATTTTTTATTTATTTAACCAGGTAGGCAGACCGTGAACAAATTATAATTTGCAACGGCAATCTGGGGGGAAGCTGAAGATTGAACCCAGGACATCATACATACATACAAAGCATGCAGTCTACCATTGAGCTACACCAACTGCTCAAATGTGACATAACATAAAGAAATAACCTAAAATACATAGGTGTTTCAAATTTTGAATGGTATTGCATGTAATTTGTATTTATTTTGGTTAGCTCATTAGTAAGTGCTTGCAAAGCCAGGGCTGTGTCCCATATCCACGGTGGACCTGTATGAAATTAAAATGTACGAACTCATCTGGCAAAGTACTAAATTGTGAAGCAGTACAGTTGACTTTACATTGTTCCGAGAGCAGCACAGTCTACTCTTGCCAGTTGTGCAGTGAAATCATCAGATTAACTATTATTCATTATTAACTTTTTTTAATTCTGGAAGAAGTTTCTGCTGATGTAATTTAACCATGGGCATAACCAGTCTGACATAATAACAAGGCTGCTAGCAAGACAGCTAACGCGTATAGAAGCTACAAGGCAGTGAGCCATTCAAAAATGAAACTGGTTTATCAGCAAGTTAACAATATAACCTAGTTGAATGCTAATACTACGTGTTAGTGAAACACTGGCGTCTGTATTAAGGACATTTAAATATATTTTGAAGGCAGTAATAGAACAATTGCCACACGAGCGAACGTTATTGTTTGTGATGTGAGAAAGAGTGACTTGCACAAATCGCCACCAGTAGAAATTAGCAGCAGGCTAATAGCTCATTACATTTACGTGACGCTGCTGTTACCACCGTGCTAACACAGACGGGCTATGACAGGTAACTTTAGCACGCTACTGTCATCCGTGTTTCAGGATTAAACTTAAATACCACGTTTTGTACAGCAAAGGTTGTTGCGGTCTGTACGTACTTGCAAATCCCAACCAGCAGACTCCAAAAAAAACCGGGCCCTCTCCTCATCAACATCAGTAACAGCAACGAACTCCCTCACCGACTCCTCTTGGTCCGCCATTTTGATATGCCCATTCAATGAATGTTCCGACTCCACTGGAGAAACGGCAACACATTTGGTTCCTTATGTGAGTGCAGAATGGTTCCCATCTCATTCAACAATCGTTGGAAAATAGATAGAAACAGGCCTGAACAACAATGTTTATGGAGCATATTATTTTCTACGATATTTAGCACTATGTAAATATATTTGTGTAGAGAAAAATATCAAAATATATGTTATTATGTTGATAAGACTTATATTATATAAACAAATATTTTCTCTGTCTTAATCTGGTGTACCCATTTACGTTTATGACTCCAGACCAAACATTAAGGTGAAATAGATTTAAAAGTAAGACTTTCCAAGTCTTACATTTACATATAACATTTAGCAATTCAATTTAGCATATACTTTAACATATAACATTTACATATAGATATACCATTTACATTTCACATTTACGTTTAGATTGAACATTTACGTTTACATATAGTTTTTACATTTATATATTATATATTTAACATTTACATTTAACACTTATTTTAGTACAATTATGTCTTGCAAGATATTGCATAAATATACATTAATTCCTCTCTAAATGTTTGAAAAAGTGGCAGTTGAAATTTGTAGTGCCTTCTTTTTTTACATTTGGCAATGATATGTGCAAAAACTGAGCAGGATTACTGTACATGCCATATTTTACAAACAGCCCTCCATAGTACCCTATCCAAACTTTTCCAAAGATTTTTTATATATCAAGATTATTAAAAATAATATATATTTTTAGGTTGTATATTTATTACAGTGACCGAAAGAACGAGATCGCGGGTACAAGCGGCCGAAATGGGTTTTCTCAGAAAGGTGGCTGGCCTCTCCCTTAGGGATAGGGTGAGAAGCTCAGTCATCCGAGAGGAACTCGGAGTAGAGCCGCTGCTCCTTTGCATAGAAAGGAGCCAGTTGAGGTGGTTCGGGCATCTTGTACGAATGCCACCTGGGCGCCTCCCTAGAGAGGTGTTCCAGGCACTTCCAGCTGGGAGGAGACCTCGGGGAAGACCCAGGACTAGGTGGAGAGATTATATCTCCACACTGGCCTGGGAACGCCTCGGGATTCCCCAGTCAGAGCTGGCTAATGTTGCCCGGGAAAGGGAAGTTTGGGGTCCCCTGCTAGAGCTGCTACCCCCGCGACCCGACCCCGGATAAGCGGTTGAAGATGAGATGAGATTTATTACAGTCTAATCTAAATCTAAAGTCATTGATTACTGTGTGGTTTGTTTAAAATGTTATGACATACAATCTTAATATTATATTAAGTCATTAGGGGGAATTCAAACACGAAAATCCATTAAAGTTTACACACACTAAATGGTGCTGCCCTTTCTATAACACAGTATCTTATATTGCCACTAGATATGAGTCTGCTTAACTATTTCTACTGTAAGTGGTGAAGGAAACCAATCATTCTAATGTATTATTTAGCTGCACCACTAGATGGCAACAAAATATTAAAATGGATTTTCGATCGGGTGCAATGGAGATAGAACACTGCCACAGGGTATGTGAAAACTACATGGCTGTATTCACAGTATTACATTTTAAATACATACATACAGCAAAAACTTGCAAATATATGTAATCTTAAATGTTCTAACATATGTCTGACCACTATCCACATACACATTCTAATATATTGGTGTCTTTTAGCCAGTCACATAACACCGAGTGATGATGTCACATCCTCTTTAGTTTTCCTTCTCTAAGACTAAATAGTTAGCTGTATGTTAAGCTGACTTAACTCTAGGTTAGAAGTGCAAAACAGCTCATTTTCATTCTGTGGAGGAAAAAGCATACACTTATTGAGATTAGTTTCTGGCAGCTTATGCTTTCAGGCTAACTTTTCTCGGCTTAAAGAAAGATGTCAAAATGTTAGTAGCACAATTCTGGGGACACAGGTAAACCAAGCCACACAAACACTAGATCCACTAATTCAGATTCTGCCATTATATATATAAAAATATGTTTCAGAATTCACATTTGTGAGGTTTATGCTTTGTTTTTATCATGCTTCGCATTTGTGTCATGGATACTATTATTTATTTCACAGAATCAACCAAGAATCAAAGTCCTTTGTGAATTGTGCATTGTGAATGCAAACATTTAAGGCACTATTGCCTAAATCTTTATATTGAAAATGCTTGATAATTTCCTGGACACACACAGTAATGACACCTGTCATGTTTAGAAAAAAAGACTCAAGCAGCTCTTAGTCAGTTACAGACTAAAAGTCCTATGTTCCCAAACATCTATGTTCCAGCATGTAATACGTGGTGTATTGTATCATTACGCAGGTTCCACAGGGAGCAAGGCCGAGGAGGCATCAAATTAGATCTTAGGCATAATTACATCTGGAGGGAATAAAATCTGGATCCCTTTATGTACACACACACAAACACACGTACACTGATTAGCTATATATTTTGTTCGGGGTCTGAATGAGGCAATGGTACATATATACTGAGAAACAAGGAAAAGGGAAGAGAGAGGGAAAAGAGACACAGTCATGGAATATGTCCGCAGTTCTCATACATTTTCGGAGAAAATATCTCTAAATAAAAGTGTATCCCAGTAAAATAATACTTGAAGTCTGTCTAAACATATTGTGTACTAAATGTATTAAGTATGTATGAGTAGAAACATAAATCATCTTAAATGACTTATTCTTAATAGCAAACCAGACAGATCGATTTTGGAAAGAATTGGACTTACAGAAGGGCCTAATGTTTAGTGAATCTACTAGCCCAGAGGCATATGGACGGCCATGGATATTTTCTTAATACATTTTTTAATTGGACCCTTTTACTGCCTTGCAAAGCCATCTAAATGTATATGTGGGTGTCAGGGTAAACATAAAGTGCAGAGTTATATGAGTAAAAACTAAATAATTGTCTTTAGAAATGTCAGATATAATTGTCAGATATATCAACTGACAAGTACAGATACTAAAAAGACGGAATTAAGTACAACATTAAAGTCTTTCAACTTACATACTTTACATCACTGTTGAAACCTAAGAACCTAAAGACCAACACTCAAAAAAATACAACAATGTGCCGTGTAGCATTAATCCTAATCCAGGTGACGCCATGGAATCCTGCCTAAGGACATCCAAAGGACTGATATTTCATCTTGTTTGAGACAATCTTTGGTTTAGAGAGCAAGGATGCCTATAGTGTTTCAATGATTACAAATACAGTGGATATAAAAAGTCTGCACACACCTGCCAGGTTTTTGTAATGTGAAAAATTTAGAAAAAGTTAAATCATGTCAGAACCGTTTCTTGGTTTAATGTGACCTATAACGTGAACAATTCAATTGAAATACCATACAAAAACCTGGTTGCCTAAGTGTGCACCCCCATAATACTAATACTTTGGATACTGGGGATGTGGCTGTGTTTAGAATTGACCAATCACATAAAAACTCATGTTAAATAAGAATCATTACACACCTGCCATCATTTGAAGTGACTATGATTATGACAAATAAAGGTCAGCTGTTCCAGTAGGATTTTCCTGACATTTTCTCAGTTGCATCTCAGAGCAAAAGCCATGGTCTGCAGAGGGATCTCATTGTTTCAAGATATCAGTCAGGAGAAGAGTACAAAATAATTTCCAAAGCTTTAGATACACCATGGAACACAGTGAAGACAGTCATCATCAAGTGGAGAAAATATGGCACAACAGAGACATTACCAAGAATTGGACGTCCCTCCAAAATGTATGAAAGACGAGAAGAAAACTGATCAGGTAGGCTTCCAAGAGGCCTGCAGCAACATTAAAGGAGTTGCAGGAATTTCTGACAAGTACTGGCTGTGTGCTACATGTGACAACAATCTCCGTATTCTTCATATGTATGGGCTATAGGGTAGGGTGGCAAGACAGAAGCCTTTTCTTACAAAGGAAAACATCCAAGCCCGGCTGAAGTTTGCAAAAACAAGCATCAAGTCTCCCAAAAGCATGTGGGAAAATGTGTTATGGACTGATGAAACCAAGGTTGAACTTTTTGACCAAAACTACAAAAGTTATTTCACATCACAGAAAGAACACCATACCCACAGTGAATCA